CCCGTCTGCGCGCGCTCGGTCGGTGTCGGCCTCTTGCGCCCGGGCACGTTCTTTGCAGAGGACGACGTCAAGTCCCCGCTGGAGCTGCAGGGAGCGACGACATTCCCCTCGCGCCCGCAGTCGCCATCTCCCCTTGAGACCTCCCAGGCCAGACTCCCCTACCGTGGAGGGAGGGAGAGAGGGAGGGAGGTGGCGTGGGCAGGTTAAGCCCAGCTGAGCCCGCCGCCCCGGGGCCGTGCAACCCCCCCAGAAATGTCGAGAGCTATGGGCACCCTGGCGCCAAGGAGACCTGGCGTAGGCTGCCCGAGCTGCAGCTCCTCCCGTTTGCCTGCCCCAGCCGAGCAGAGGCCAGGGAAAGACAGATGGCAGGGTTCACCCCACTGGCATCTCTTAAGCGCCTATCAAGAATTTCAGAGTATAACCTTTGCTCTGGGTTTTTATTACTCGCCCCTTCTGACCAGGGGAGAGGGCGTGCTGCAGCCTGCATGCAGCGCGTAGGCTGCCCGAGCTGCAGCTCCTCCCGTTTGCCTGCCCCAGCCGAGCAGAGGCCAGGGAAAGACAGATGGCAGGGTTCACCCCACTGGCATCTCTTAAGCGCCTATCAAGAATTTCAGAGTATAACCTTTGCTCTGGGTTTTTATTACTCGCCCCTTCTGACCAGGGGAGAGGGCGTGCTGCAGCCTGCATGCAGCGCTGGAGCCAGCACTGCTCGGCTGCTGAAGCACTTGACTGTCAGTTGCTCAGTGTTCCCATCTCCAGCTCCTCATCCTCCTCCTCTGACCAGCTCAAGCTGTCATCCAGGTCCTCTTCCAGCACTGCCCTGGGCTCCTCTGCATTGGCAGCCTCCTGCTCCTGCTTGCCACAAGAATGTGACCTGCTTTGGGGGAGCTCCAGTGTGGTCCAGGAGCCAGAGCTGGCTTTGCAAAGTACAATCTCCACCTTGGTAGCAACCATGCTCACAAAGCTCTTCTCTACTTTGATGACCTAGGGAGACAGGAAGGTACGGTGAGTGGGGCAGGGAAGGGCAGGCAAGCACATGCTCAGCCTTCTCCTTAATGACAGAGCCATGCCAGAGGAGAAAAGAGGAGAAATTTCTTCTTCGTGTGTGCCAGGAGACAGAGCAGGATGACACCTGGGCTCCAGCCCAGCTTCCTAGTTACACCTAAGCAGCACTGCAGCGTGAGTACCAGGCTCGTGAGAGCACAGCTAGCCGCAGTCACGCACCTAGCAGGACAGCTCGCGGGCAGCACACACCAGGAGGAAAGGTAAGAAATGCACATGCAAATTCCTGAGTCTCACAGCTCCTCCCCAGCCGGCAAGCAGCTGAGAAATCAGCAAGGGAGTCTCTCCCTTCACCCCGCTGCCTGCCCACAGACCTGGCAGGATTACAGAGGGAGACAGAGACCCACTGAGCCAAAAACCCTTTGGGACAGTCTGAGACAAAACCCAGAATGCTTACAGAGCTGGCAGCTATGTCCAGCTCTGCTGTTAGTCCAAGATCGATTGATGTAGCTACTGCCAGCCTCTGAAACAGCCCTCCTCACAACCCCTAAGGCATTTCCTAGCAGATATGGCTATAAATGCTTGTAGGCATTTATTCCTCAGGTGAGCGATCCCAACAAGGGCAAGCCAGCACTGTGGCAGTATTTAAAAGAGTAGCCACGGTGCCCCAGGTAGTGCAAGGCAGTCAGATGGGCACAAAGCCCAGGCACAGTCTTGGGGTGACTCTCAGGAGATGCTGACAGTATGGGATCACTAGAGAAAAAAACTAATTTTCCCCTCAGCCTTTGCTGCTATAGAAAGCTGGAGGTCTGGAGATAAATAGGTCTTTACTGTGACAGCCATGGTGGAGTTGTGCTCTGCAAGGCTTTGAGAGCTGACAATGAGTTATACCAAGGGAGGGACTATGATACAGCTGTTTGTTCCAGAGATGTGCCAGCTGAGGAGGAGATGTCATCCTGGGGGCCACAGCATTTATGTGCACTAGTACAGTCAAAGTCTGCCTCATGCTCCATCCATGGGAAAAACTCTGCAGATATTGCAGCAACAACCATTCTGCTGCTTTTTGGAAAGTGTAAGAATATTGACTATGGAGAGAGTAATTTTCCTTACTGGGAGCCTATGTGTACAGCTGTAAATTATTCTGCCAAGGCACAGGCCACCCAGCCCCACACAGACTTACTGGAATAGGGAAATCAAAGTAAACAGGATCTTACCCCCCAGAGTTCCAGTTCTGCCTGGAAAACTTTATTCCCTTCAAAGATTATATGAACTTCAAGCTGAAAGATAACAGAAAATTATGAGTGGGTAGCAGAACACTGCCAGAGCTCTTCCCCTGGTCGGTGCCGCTGCCTTCCAGCACCACAATGCATCCCATGTCCTGGCTCCAGTGTAACAGTCTGGTGCTCCCTCGGGCACCTGGGAGCATTTCCCTCCCTTCAGAGCATGCCAGGTTCACCGTTGACACCAGTGGAGGGGTTCAAGGCCAGCCAACCCACCCGCTGAAAGGCGCTGAGCCAGAGGGGCTGGGCAGATGCTGCTGCAGCAGCAAAGCCACCAGGCTCTCAGCTCAGGACTGAAGGTCAGCAGCGCCAACCCCAACTGCAGCAACAGACCTAACAGGCCATCAAAGAGCACCCTACACCCGGCCAGCTCCTGGCTGTTGGCTCACCAAAATCAGGTGCCATGAAAGCCCCCCCCAGCTCTGCCAGGGCACTCACCACGGTGCGGTTGGCTTTCACACTGCTGAGGGCAGGCAGGGGGTTCTTGGCATAGACCGTCACCACCACCTGGCTGCTGTTCTGGTGCCAGTCCTGCCGGCACGACACTGCCTTCTTGTCCTGCTGGCAACAGGAACCCATTACAGCACATGCCAAACAGAGGGGGGGTGTCTGTGCCAGAGGATGCTCCTTTGCACATCTCCTTCACAGAGCACCAGGTGAGGTCAGCATCAGCTAAGCAAGATCAAACCCTGCCTTTCATTCAGGTTTTCAAGGGAAGGTGGTTCCTGTGAAGCTGGCCAGACCCTGCCAGGCTGTGCTGTGCAATGTGGGGCATCTGTGCTGTGCTTGGGGTTGCTCCAGAGGGCGGGTTAAGACTAGAGCCATCCCCTTCTTGTTGCAGAGTCACACTGCTATGCCCAAGCTCATAGGTGCTGCCCACAGGAAACTCAGTCTGGTGGGCACAGCAGGGGCTATTGCTGGACATGGATCATGCCACCATGCTAAATTTGGGAAACAGATGAGCTCAAACTGGCCATGTTTCACCTTCTTCCACAGGACCTTCACCTCATCCTTGCCACAGGAATTTCTGAGCATCACCAGGAGACAAAACCCATGCAGTCCTCATCCTTGCCAGCTGAAGAAAAGCCCCAGGAGGAATCCCAGCCTCAAACTCATGTGACAATTAGCATAAAGCATCTGCATCACATCACAGTTCATTCACTGCAGCCTCCTTTACCTCTACTAGATATTTTCTGCTCCAGAATAAGAACAGACTGGGTTCAGAGGAACATGATGCACTCTCAAGGATATCCTGGGTTGCTTCGGTGCAACTTTCCCAGCCAAGAGCTTTCCTGGGGAAACTTACACACATATATATACACACACCGTAGTGGGAATTGGGATCTTCTCCCCATTGCCCTGCTGCAACACCATGTTGCTATGTAGATGAGGCCCATCCTGGGAAGCAGTTGCAGAGGGAAAGCTTCATTAAAACCAAACTCAATCACCTGCAGTCATCTGTAAAAACATTTTTTTTCCCCCCCAGGGCTTTTCCTATGCCCAGCTGCCTGTCCCTGTGCAGCAGCCTGCAGTGCTGGTTGTGCCATGCCTGGGGCCAGCTCCTGCCACATTCAGCTTTGTACTGTCCATCTGACCATTGTACGTGAGAGCTGACACATTTTGTGAATGCTGGAGCAGCATTTTAAACATCAGGTGGGTGAAAATTAGACATTCAAACCCCAAGAAGTTGTCTGTTGGCAATTATGAAAATTGAGATAATTAAATGCAGAAACCTGTGTGAATGCAGAGCAAGGGAAGGACCACTCCTCCAGTGCCAGTAATAGCACTCTGCTCACAAGAGTCACCCCTGCCAAAAGCCCTCTTACCCCCTTCCCCATCCAGCAATGCTGCCCACTGCTGCAGCCTGGTTGCTCCAGGAAGACGCCAAAGTCCGTTGTTTTGACTCTGCAGCAGCTCCAGTACTTCATCCTGGGGAAAGAAGGGTGACCTGAGTGGGGAGTGCCCAAGGGAGCAGGAGAGGGGATCACAGTACACTTTAGGGTGGTGGGGGAGAGGGGCTTGGAATCAGCAACTCCCCCTGCCCATCTGTCACCCCGGGGGGTGTCACCCACGACTGTAGGAACTGCACTGCTGAGGCCACACAACCTTGCAATGCAACGCCTCCAGCCCTCAGCAGGATCAGTTTGCTCCCTGGTAAAGGGCTGTTGCTTACCCCTCATGAAAGACAGGAACACCAGGATGGAAAGTGCAAACCTCTGTGTTGCTCTCTGGGCCCCGGTAGACCTGCAGATCAAGAAGCAGAGGAAAAGTTTAATCTGTGCCCAATGGCATGGGCAGCCAGGTGTTTGCCCATTGGTGCTTATCCTTGCATAGGGCACAGCACGATGCTCAACATTATCAGGTCCAGCATCTGTGAGGATTTACTCTGGAACTAAGTCCAGCCAGCAGCCTGGCACCAGTCCCTGCTTCCTGCCGGCAGAGCAGCCACCCTGGCCTCACTGGCATCCCAGCACCATCCCCCTGACCCTGGCAGCAGCCCTTCCATATGTCCCCTCTGAAACATGGACTGGTCTCAGCCTGAACACCACAGAAACTTGCTCCAAGGTGCAAGGGGCCCTTCATCTATCCTGTCCATGAACATGTCAGCCTCATGTCCTCATCCACTTCCCACTTTTTTCTCCCTGCTCACCCTCTACTGCTTTCCAAGCATCCCAGCCCTCCTGCAGCGTGGTATCCCTAGCACATGCCTTGAGGCAGGCTGGGAGTCCTACACAAGGTGGCCATAGGGCAAGATAGAAAGCAGTCTGTTCTGCATTAATTAAGTACAAGTGGGAATTATTCTACATGCATTTTACCCATATCCTGAATATGTGCTGTATTTCCTTGCAAGCAATTAGCAGCAGTGAAACGCAAATGTACCACCAATCTAGGAACCTGGAAGTTTCTTGCAGGACTGTGGCTGGAAAGAAACAGAGGCAGGAGGGGCATATGGAACTGGTGTTCACTGCCACCTCCCACCTGCCCAGCACCCTGCCCCACACCTGGTGGCAGCTGGGAGACGAGCCCTTGCAACAGCCCTGTGATGCTCCCGCCGTGCGGCACAGGTTGTGCAAAGATGGAACCCGGGCAGGTACTCACCATCTTGCAGGCTGCATTCTTGCAGGTGGTACCAGCTGTCACCTGGGCAGCCACCTCCCCTGCAAGAGCAACACAGCTTCACCCCAGGGCACGCACTGCATTGCATCTGCCCACCCCCAGACCCTCTGCAGCCCCACTGCCAGCTCCCAGCTTAGCACGCACAGCCCCCGAGAAGAGTCCATAGAAACACACCTCCGAGATGCAGCCCTGTGGGTTTGCAAGGGGATGAGCATGCAGCACCCACCAACCTGCACCAAACGTGCCATGCAAAACCGCATGCTGATCTTCCCATGTGCAACCCCATCCACCAGCTCATCACTACCTGCACAACTGCCCTCCGGTGCCTCGTCCTTGGAGGACAGGTTCAGCTTCTCTAGTACCTGCTCCAGAGACCTGGATACTTTAATTGGCAGCAGTTGTCTCGGCTCATCAGAGCTGGGAAACAGCAGCAGCAAAGGCCAAGTGGGTCTTTTTTGTGTGCAATTTAAGTGTCTTTGCCTCTCCTGAGGTAGCAGCAGGGCAGGACACACACAGAAGCAGCAGCACAGCAGGGTGAAACTGTTAGCTGAGCCTGTCTCACCTTGGTCTTTCCCGCTGCATCCTCTCGGCTGATTTCTGTCCTTGTATGATGAGCTCCTCCACTGCTTGGGCTTTTCGCTTGTCTGAGGTCTCCTCTTGGCTGAAAGGCTCAGGTGGCTTCTCTTTGCTATGAAACCCCTTTGTGCATCCCTGAGCAACAGAGGCAGGCTTGATGCCCGCTTTGCCCTCCTTAATTTGGCAGCTGCTTCCAAACCCTGTGAGCTTCTGTGCTCTGGTGGATCTGCATCCTGCAGGGATGGGCTCTGACCCTGCACCAGCGCAGGGGCTGCATCTGAGGGATTTCCAGGGACAAGATGGTGTGGCAGCCTTGCCAGAGCTATGGCAGACAGGTCTCATCTGTGCTCCACCCCTGCCTGGCAGCTGAAGGGCAGCAAGAGTCTCTCCTTGTCCCTGGGCTTCTGCTGCCTCCTCCCCCACCCCAGGACTGCTCAGACATTCACAGCTGTGCTGCCACTTTGGACATTTGTGTTTATCCCACAGGATCCTGGTGGGAGATCCCAGCCCCTTCCAGCAACCTTCTCTGGGAGTGCCTGTCCCTCACCTTGGGAGCAGCACTCTTACTTGCAGGCTGCTTGGACGCAGATAGGAAAGCCCCAGCTGGCAGGGCAAAGGGCGCAGCCTTGGTGAGGGATAGGGATGGGAGAGGAGAGGACAGGGCAGGGGTGAGGAGGAGAGGACAGAGGAGTAGCGGGCACTTTTTGGACTGGCAGGTCACTCACCTTTATGGAGAGAAATTCAGAGAAGTCTGTTGTGCGTTTCTTGCAACAAGACCAGCCCTAGGCACCAGGAGAAAACAAACTGGTCAGGTGTGGGCAATCCTGCTGGGCACAAAGTCCCTCTCTGCAGCTGCAGCCCCAGCTCCTGCCCTACCGACCTTCAGCGCATCGTGGAAGATGGGGATGCCCGGGTGATACAGGCAGGAATCTGAAAAGGGAAAATCAGGCAGAACCTTTCAGGAGAAGCAATCCTGCCCACAAGCCACCCATGACACCCAGCACCTCCTAAGCCAGCTCCTGCCGTGCAGACTGCCTGCACGGGGCTTAGCTCAGCCCTGCTTGTCAGCTCAGGCTACAGCCTGGGAACATGGCACACGTTCCCACTCCCCCTGGTGCAAGGCAGCCTAGCCCACATACCCTTGGCATTGTGCTCAGGATCAAACCTCTGCCCGCAGCCCTTGTTGTAGCACAGTGAGGCCATTGCTCCCGGGAACGTGCGGCGTCCTTCACTCCTTCCACAAAAATCCCATCCCGTGGTCTCTCCTCTGCTTCCCCACAGCTTCCAGCCCCAGGACGTGGCTTTGCCTATCTTTAGAGGCAGCTGGAGGAGGTGGCTGGTAATTGGAGAGCAGGCTAAAGACGGATATAGCAGCAGGGCAGCTGGCGCAGGACGCCCCTGCTATCTCGAGAGGCGTTTCTGTCCTGCTCCTGCACATAGCAGAGGGAAGGGGTGCTGCAGCGTACCTGGGGTGGGCAGAGGGCTTGCATCACCCTGGTGCTCACACTCAGCTTGGGGCAACCTGCAACTCCTCTTGACCAACTGCTCTGTTTTTTTAGTGTTTTTAGAAGCAGTTGAAAGTTTCCTGAAAAAGAAAAGACTTCCCAGAGTCCCAGGGCAAAACCTGTGCTGATCACCCCAGCCCCAAGAGGCGTGACCATCTGCTAGACAGGGGAAACAAGGGACCAAAGCAGTGCATGTGGCCAAGACATCCTTCAAGGCAGGGTCTCGTACAACCCAAGGATGAAAACTTTCCCATGAAAGATCATTGTCATCACTGAAGAAGGACACAAAATGTTACATAGTCCCCCTGTACCCAGGAAGGGTTTGCTTGGGCTCCCTGCTCCTATTCTGGGACTCAAGAGTTTTCCTCTACAAATAGGAAACCCTCTTGAAATCAAAGGTTTCACTTAGTTCCTATAAGCATCTAAACCAAGTATTTTTTGTTGTTGTTGTTCCTGTTTGCAGAGACACCTGTTTCCTGGACTGGGAGAGTGTTTCTGCTCAGGAACAGGGTTCCATATAAGCCCTTGGCACTATCAGGTAACACAAAGGGCAGGTCCAGGCAGCAGCTGCCCAGGGAGTCTGCTTGGTAGGGCAAGCCACAGGGTCTGCCATGGCTGATGTAATCCCAACCCTGGCCCATATTTGTTTAACCTGGTTAATGCCCCTACAACAGCCTGCAGGGTCTGCTGCAACCCCAAGAGGATCTCCAAAGTCCAGAGTTAGGATGAAACCTTGCCAAAGTTCTGGAGCTCACCAGGGAGATGGCTTCAGACTCATTTCATTCTGCCTTGCTGCTCCATCTCCAGCTCAGTTCTGCCATCCACACCTTGAGCCACCCTGGTCAGCAACCACATCAGGCTTTTCCTTGTCATCTTGTTAGCAAGGAAGACAGCCCTGCCAGAGGGGGAGCCATGCATTTGCCACCAGCCCCCCTTATACCTGGATAGCCTGTGTATATATATACACCTACATCCAAGCAAAAGCTATGAGGGCACTGGGGAACTGCCACACCACCACGAGCCACATGGCTGATGCCTCCCCTGAAGGACTGCAGTACCTTAAGACATATTAAATGACCCAACAGTCCCAAAGGCAGATAGAGAAGAACTGCTGACATCCAGAGCCTCTGCTCAGGCTGGGGGGGATCACCCGGGGCCCAGGAAGCTGGGCAGAGCCCTGTGACCGGGGAGTCTGCAGTCCTGGGGCTGAGCAGAGCTATAGGGTTTCAGATCTCCTTGTCCTTTCCACAGGCCGTCAGCAAGGCTGCAGCTGCCGCCACCCTGTGCCAGGGAGAATCTGGAGCTCGGGTTACCTCACATGCCTCAGAGGAAACACCAACAGGATGCTGTGGCTGACCCCCACACTGAGGCTTGTTGCAGAAGGACCAGCAGGTAGCCGGGGATAGGGGAAGAGAGGACACAGCCAAGCAGAGCCCCCCTAGCACCCGAGGAGCAGCAGCACCGCTCTGCCCTGGCTCCTCTGCTGCACTGCTGAAAGTGTCTGCAGGCAACAGACTCAAAAGAGCGACTCAAAAGACAGAACCTACTGGGAACATAGTAGTGACATACAGTAAATGGAGGTGTCCACAGCTCCTGGCCCAAGTAGACACTTCCCAGGGAGTACAAGGTGAGTGGGTACAGTCTGGGAGACAGACACAAGACATCTACCATGAAACAGAGAAGAGCTTGAAAGGAAGTGCCCAGTCAGACAGCAGCAGACTCAAGCTGAAGCTGGTGCTTTAAAAATCAGGGAGAAGATGAGGTACAGGTGATGGCAAAGAGCATGCAGCATCTACTTTGAATATGTGGCTTCTGGCAGCTGCATTTGTGCCACGGGGCTGTGTTGCTGAGTCCAGCCCTCCTCTGTGGCAGAGCTCCAAGTAAAGCAGAAGTAAGTGTGTGAGCTGGCTGAGCAGGGACAGTCATGACCAACACCTTTGAAACAGCTTGCAAGGGGGGGGCTAGCTGAGAATTAAAGATAATTCTTGTTTGGAATTTGTGCACTTAATTTGATATATAACA